GCGACATCTTTCTACTCTCAGCACCAATATGAGAGCTTCCAGGAAGGAATCCAGACTCTCGCTCATTTGGGTCTCTAATGGACGCCCTGAAAATGGGGTTCACAATGAGTAAATTCAATGGGCATCTTATTGACATTGAGATGGGTGGGCTAGTTTATCTGAGCTAGCCTAATTCAACAAACAACTACAAAAGCTCTTTTGGAAGAAAAAAAGCTATGTCTTTAAAAAGATAAGTGCAAATCAGATAAGACTGCATGTTCACATTAGTCTGGTGGATATTGCTCACAAAGCTGCCAAAGGCCATTCATAGACATTTCCATGTTACACTTCCCTTCAACAGCAGATAATAAACAAAGTTGAGTAGACTATAAACACAGTCATAGTTATCAAAATGCATATCCACATTCTACAAAAGGATCAGATTATTCATGTCCACTGCTGATCTAGTGCACTGATATAAAACTCTTATTTGCCTGAGGACAAGCCCGTCTCTCTGAAAAAAACAAATGAAAAATGCAAAAACACAATGGAAAAAAAAAAATCAGCAGTGGAAAGCAGCCTGATTTAGAGGATTTAACCAATGATATTCTGGTTAAAAAACAGCTATGATGTGTCTGAGGTTACAGCTGTAGAGACCTAGGAACACTTCAGCATCATCGCTCAATAGTCGAGTTCATTATGCAATCATCTGAGAGATCTGGAACAACTGGGGTAGATAATGGAATGGAATAAAATCTTGGAAAAGAGTGGAAAAATAACCAAACTAAACACAGAGTGGCAAATTCATTAAACCTTACAGTCACTTTTGTGCCATCTTAAACAGGCGCTGGATGGGACATTCTTTTTAGTGTAAACGCACCACATTTGATTCAAATCAGGCTTATTAAAGTGCCGGAGTGATGACGTCACTTTGTAGGACAACTCGGAAGCTAGCGGCGCATGGGTTCCCTCGATCGAAAAGCTCTGCATTTTCCCCATAGACTTTTGGAAAATCGCAAAAAATAAGATCTGTGTTTAACAAAGAGTTGTGACCCTTATACGTTTTGTCTATCAAGATAATCTTTACAAGTTAATCCAAAATGTATACATTTTGAAGCCTATATAAAGTTTTTTAAAAACACAAGCAGACAGAATAAAGTTTTAAACCACAAGCAGGTTATAACTGTGTTCTATGTCATAGATCAAAACGTAAAAATATTTAGAGGCTTTGTTCACCACAGACCTTATTTCAGGCGATTTAGCAAAAACCCATTCAAAAATCCCATAGACTTTAGAGCAAGGGAACCGGGAGTGCTAAAATGCTAACTCACTTCCGCGTTTTGGCCTACAGAGTGACGTCGGCGATCTGTTGATGTGTGTTCATGAGTAACATTGTATCGTTGACTACTATTTTGAAGTGTTGTGTAATGACGTAATGTGTGGAGAACAAAAGTGAAAGAGTAAACAAGATGGATGAAGTTTGTTACTCCCGTCTCTTGTGCTTTATAACACCAGCTTGCAAGATGCTCCTTACCAACAGTGCTCAGCGCTTCTTCTTTTTTGGCATGTCTGCACTGTTACCCGATATAATTCCTGTAGTCAGGTGAAAAAAACCCCCAGAAACTGCTGTAATATGACAACTTCAAACTCATACCTTCTCTGTCTTCTTGTCCTGTTTGACCAGGATGGAGAGGTTGTCCTTCAGGGTCTTCACAATTTCTGTGGGGTTCTTGTGAGATTTACCAAATAGTGGCATGGTAGCGGCCGTGGACTTCTAGCTGTAGAACGGCTGGAATAGAAAAAAAAATAAAAGAAGTCAATTGCTTTGATGGCCCTCTTCAATTCTGACAACAAAACACTGAGACAGAAGACAAAGTCTGCCCAAGTTTAAAAGGAGATAATAGCCTGAAATATTTAAACGGGAAATTTGACATTAATCAAAAGCAGCACACAATACTTTACTTGACTGAATGTATGTTTCTCATTATCTTCAACAATCTTGGGATCTAATGTTTATGTAAATGTTTGAAATTACACAAGTACAAAAAAATGCCACCTCATTGCTGTTATACATTAAACTAGTTTTGATGATTTGAATGAGTAGGTATGTTCCATTAAAGCCAGTGTTATTTTAGTATTATTTATATATTATTATTGTAAATAGTATATTTTATGTTTATACTGTTTATTTATTTTAATTTTTGTCATTTTGTTGTGCTTTTGTAAAAATTTTGTTCTTTAAATACTTTTTTGGAACATATTTATTTGGTTTTACTGTAAGATATCAGTACAACAGACAATTTAGTCTGAAGAACAGATCTTTCCATTTAAGATGCAAGTTTTTCATATAATATTTACATCTTTTTTAATCTATTTCAAAATATATATTTTTTATTAAATTTATATAAAAATATTTTTTATGATTTAAGTTCTTAACACCGATTTAAAACCATTTACATTTCACCAAAAAATCTAAATAATTAAGAACAGTTATGATCTGAAACTCCACTTCAGTCTGTAAGTAAGTAGCTTTAATTATTATGTAAATTAAAGACAAAAACTCCATTCATTGTTCCAGCCTTGAACTAACATGTACTTTAAATTTAACTAAATGATTATTCTTAATTTGATTCAATGAATCTGTTCACAGTGGAAACAAAGCCATTTTGACAGGGTTGACAGCAGAATGTGATGTGAGAGGAACTTTTCAGCACACAATTATAATGAGGGGAATATTCACTGTTTTTCCGAGAGAACTAAGTGAAACTTGTGACTGGTAATCCTGTGATCTAAGAACCTAAGGTGTGTGTGTGTGTGTGAGAGAGAGAGAGTCCAAGAGTTAGAAATTTCCTGTTCCTCCACCTGTCAGCAGCTGATCTTTGAACAGATTCCCTTCACATTACTGCTGCGTTCATTCAATACATCTTACAATATTACCACCTGACCTTATGACAGATTAATGATTACATAAAGTACAGTTTGATAGTACCTCCTGTAGAGGATTCTTTAAAGAAAATATTCAATAGTTTTTTGAATACCGATCATACTAGCACACTCTGCAATCTAGGTGTGGGAATAACTTACAATAATTCACTATGTAAACACAGCAATAAAACCAACACCTGATTCAGGTCATAAGTCATACTCGATCTCCAGAAACACATAACACCCTCACCTCGCCCGCGTTTACTATCCCAATACCACCTTAACCATCAAAAGGCCCATCGCTGAGGAATGTCACATGACCACATTTATTTAACAGTGAGTGAACAGGTCCTCTGTTTGCTATGTGACAGTTTTATGAATTTTATATAGTCCTCGGCAAAGAAAAAATTAAGCGCTACCTTTGTTTACTATCTGTAAATACCACCTTCAACACCCTAGCGCCGCAACATTAGAAAATAAAACATGAAATGGAAGGATTTAGTCTGAAGCACTGGACATAGCCGAGATAAATGAGAGATAGATGGTGATGAGAAACCAGTTTGAATTACTACCAAGGAATTGAGTACAAAACAAGAATGGAATCCCTAAAAAATATATATTAAATTTGTGACAGATTGGATAGCCATTCTGGGTTGCAAATTCCGCCTGAATAAGCTATCAGTCAGCAGCAGCTAGCTTGTTTGTGACCAAAAACTGAAAATTGTGCTTACAGATTAATTTATATTCCCATAAAAACAGAATATTTGGAAACAGGGTTGAGATTTAACACTAAAGTCAAGATTAAAAAAAAAAAAAAAAAACATTACTTCCCAATATTATGAAGAAAATACTCAAATGATGTCACTCCTTGGGTGTGACAATTTTAGGGAATGTGTCATTTTAGAAATATAAAAGAAATTTAAAATAAATCATAATAAAAAAAACATGATGTATCAGGTTTGTTCTAAATATGTGGGACACAGCTAAACATTTTGGTCATTAAAATTATTAGTTTTTAATATAACAGTTTTATTAAAAATAATCAAATTAATTTACAATGAGTTGAATATCTTTTAATCAACATATTATCAATAAATTACGTCATTAATTTTGACATTGTTGTAATAGTTCTCCAAAATAAAATGCTTTTAAAAATACACATTCTCATTGGACTGCAGATCACATTACAAAAAAACAAAGCTAAATGTGTGCCATTTCAACGTCAGGCGTCAGATTTGTGTGACAGAAGTTCTATTAGGAGTGTAGGGAAGCATCTGACAGATTTGATACTGGTGTTATGTGGAATCGTGCTGAAATGCATGTTGAACTGAGTGAGCAGGCCCTCTCCAGTGCATGATCTGCTTGTGTGAGAAGGCCTTGCAGTGGTGTGATCTGTTGTTTCAGGCCTGTTCACCCAATTCAACACAAACAGCAGCAGCATTACAGCGTGACACTGAGCGAGCTGCTCGTTACAATGTAACACGCGAATAGAACGTTACAATCGAACAGAACGACAGACTAACGGTAACAATGAAGCAGTTCAGACGCTCGAGCTCACACTCATACACACTCTCAGTTTGTCAACCGTGTTACCAAAAACAAGCCCGACATGCGGAAAATTGGGCGTACGTTTAGCTTATTCTCTTGCGACACCAAAATAAAGGCACACACACAGCAGTAGCCTGAGAGCTTATGTTGGTGTTCGACGTTATATGATATCTAGCTATTATTTCGATATCGCGTTTGTAATGTCTGAAATGTTGAATACTTACAGTGCTGCGATGTAATTGTGTCTTCTGCGGCTGCTGTGGTTTCTGTGTGTGTTCGCGAGCAGCCGTCCTGATCACGCCAGCAGACTGTGTGTTGTGTGTGTGTGTGTGAGAGAGAGAGATAGAGCGCGCGCGCGCTGGGCTAAACGTCAGAGGAATATGTGTATGAGCGAATTAAACACTGACTGACTCAAACTCGTATATCTGCAGAAGACATGATGGGTTTGTAACACAAACTCCCTGTCTTGGTGCCTTTCCGCGGTTGAAGAATGATCTGGGATCGGTTCTGTGACCGTCCGTGGCAGTTTAGCCTGTGACGTACGAGCTGATCTCAGATCAGATGCTGAAAGCCGTCCTCCCGCACTGAGGCGAGGCGTCGTGTTACCCGGATGTGGATGTGTTCAGACTGTATTATGAAGAGATATACTGACTAAAATAAGTGCATGACTCATGATTTTGAATCACGACGTTTTATACTAGTATATCGCGTCATATACCTGCATGAACTATTGAACGACACACTGTCATAGCCAAAGTCTGCGTGTGCGCAGTGTGTGTTACTGAAGCAGAGACTCTGAGTCACAGACTTAAACGATCTTTGGCTGGTTCATAAAAATCTGTGCAATTCTTAAAGGTTAAATTGAAACTAAATTCAATTTTTTGGGGGGAAAAGGTTATACTAACAATATATAATAGGGTGGGTTTCAAATCATCTTGGTTAATTTTCCTCAGATTTTAATCATATTTCCTAATTGCAATGTTTGTTGGACTTTAATGTTTTTTCTTGAATTGTTTAACTTTAGGTTTTCTTAAATTTAGATAAAAAAAAACTACAATAGACTTAAATGGCAAGTTTTGGCACTATTACATATTTTACTTAAAGGAATAGGCTAGTTCACGCAAAACTTATGTCATTTACTCACCCTCATATGTTGTTTTTGACCTGTATGAGTTTCTTTCTCCTGCTGTACGCAAAATAAATTAAGTCAGATCTCTGTCAACATTCTTCAAAATATCTTATTTTGTGTTCAGCAGAAGAAAGAAACTCATACAGGTTTGGAAGAACTTGAGGGTGAGTAAATGATGACAGAATTTTCTTTTTTGGTGAACTATCCCTTTAATATTTATAAATCAAATTTGATTGAAAATGAAATTTTACCATAAAAGTTCCCACCATTGTCTTTTATGAGATCAGAAACCAGATTTTCATGTTTATAAAAATTCTGTTAAATGATTATTATTAAGGGAAATTGTTTTATTTTATAGTCTTAATATTAGCTGTTATTATTTATAAATCCAGTTTTAAAAATGAAATTATATCACTAAAAGCATAACCATTCATCTTTTATTATGAAACAGATTTAAAATTCTGCTACACAGTAAAACAAAGTTGCTGCCTTAAATCTTTTTTGAAGTAATTTTTAACTTAAATTACACTAACTTAAAATATTAGTTGAATCTTCTATAACATAAAAAGTTGACAATTGCTTAACTTATTTTAATGAGTTAAAGCAATGCAAAAATCTGTTGTCATAACTTATTAATCATGTATTTTTTTTAGTGTATGGTAAATTAAGGGGAAAAATATTTTATGGTCTTAATATTTAAAATCAAGTTTCAAAAAGAAAATTCTATCATACAAGTTTACTCATTTTTTATCATCATACAATATTTTAATAAATTCACAAAAGTTTCAGCATTCACTGTCATGAAACAGATTTAAATGAATCAAAAACGTCTAACAATAATAAATCATTAAGTAACATTTATTTGCAAAATTATAAAGTTGTTTGTGGTGCACAATGAAAAAGCTGATGCATTTAAGATCGACTTAATATATACACTCGATATTTCCTTGACAAATCTGAGCCAGCAGAAGAGGATAGAATGTTTCAGTGAAGTTTATTTCTGCCTAAGCACTTTAAATTCATTCATCTCATACAACCTCTTAGATACATATTTACACATGTACATAGATACGAGTCTAATAGAGGAAAATATTTTATGTCAAATGAGAACACGATAAAACTAGCATGAGATAAAACTAACATGCAGCAATGTGCCACATGAAATTTAAATAGATATTAACAATGATTTCTGTATTGCTGAACACGTTAAAACAAAGACAGTGTACAGTTCTGGGGACATGAACACCTGAGCACAGAAACGCTGTGGTATTCATCCTGGATTGAATCAGCCGTCTAGGATTAACTTATAGATGAACTTTGACAAGTTTTAAGTAATACTTTTTGACAAAAGGTTCTGACCTTTAAAATCAAGTTGAGTGACACGCCAATTATCACTTTCCAGACTACATTTTGAACCATCCAAATTAAACAATCTGTGGTGACGGTACGTACAGGAAAATAAATTGCATAAAATGTGAACACAATTGATATGTTGTTACTGGAAAATTGTAGAACAGTAAAGTGACAAATACAACAAAATACAATTCATTGACACACAACAATAGTGGTCATAATATACAATATGTATAGATATATATATATACTGTTTTAATGAAAAACATGAGATAAAAGTTAATATCTGTACAAATCTTTTACAGGAAATAATTTAAACTATACAGCCGTTTTCGATTAATACATACAGTGAACAGGACTTTTCACCAGGCATAACCTCCAGAATCTTTATCGTATAAAACAACATTTCATTGTCTTGCTGCTACAGCAAATCAGACAGGAGCTTTAGACGCTCCAGACAGTCAGACATTCCAAACAGACACTGACATTCTCAAAGCAAGATCAATAAAACCAGTGGAAGCTCATGTGAGAGTCCTTGTTATGTATATTTAAAGACTTTTAGACCGCAGGCTACTTTGATGTTAATGCCGACTCGACCAAAAACCCTTTTACTCTTTGAGGAAATGCATGCAGATGCGAAACGAACAGCATCACACGATATTTTCAAAGTTAATGAGAATGTGAATGGGAACAGCAGACATTTTTTCTCTCTCTTATGAAGGAGAGACGGTTGAGAAAGGGTGACGCTCTCTATAAAATATCCTGAATGGCGTATATTGACCGCAGAGGTCGATTCCTTTCTCGGTTGAGGAGGTTAAATACAGTACAAAGGCTCGAGGAGCTTCAGTAGAAAGTGCACTGTGTAGGAGCTGCCACAAGACGCTGGAGCATGCGCTTCAGGTTTTGATGTCAGAGAAGCTCGTGTAGGTTTCGCTGCAGCTGGACGACGTGCTGAGGTTTCCAGACCCACTGCCTTCTGTGGGGAAAACACGCACACATTAGCTCAATTCAGAAAATATGACGGGGATTTATTGTGTGGTGGATGGAAAGCAGGGAGTTGTGTTACCTGAGCTGGAGAGAGATTGAGAAGATTTGGATTCTCTGATGAGAGTGAGCAAGTTTGCAGCAGGGACCCAGCCTTCCTTATTGGTCCGCAGATTACGTACAAACCTGAAAAAAAATCAGACATCAATAATCACACCATACTCTGCTTACAGAAAACAGTTTGCGATTCTAATTTGGTCATCTTTAGAAACATCAAAACGAGTCCAGATAATAATCCATCACTCAAAATGCAAAAATGGAACTAGATTATTTTAAATATGTGGGCACAAAAACAGCCCTGGGGTAATTCCTCTGTGTTATTTAACATTTGGTATATTTTACAATATTCTATTAAGCCTATGGAATTAGGAGCAGGTTACGATGTGCATTATTAACGGCTTTACTTTTTTTAAAAAATATATTTTATGCATTTATAGCAGTGCTTCTCAACCGGAGCCCACTAGGGGGCCTCGGCAAACTTTCAAGGGTGCCGCAGGATGACAAAAGTATTTAAATTAATATATTATTTTTAATATATGAAAATAATACAAGTATAACCTAAATACAATGCTAAAAGCAAACAAAATGCGAAATGAAATCATATTTTTATTTTCCCTTAATTATTGTTTGTACTGAAGAATATACAGCTCTGGAATACAGAACGTAACATCTTGAATCACAAAATGAATCGTGGTTAATTCATTCAGTATGTTAAAATAATTAACCTTTATGTATCAATAAAATGTTTGAAAACAAGCAGCTTTGTCATAATTACAGCAGAAATATCTAGTGAATATTGTGTTAGACAACTTCGACTTTTTATTTCAGAATTGTGTGATATAAAGTCGCAATTGCGAGATATAAAGTCAGAATTAAACTTGCAATTCTGACTTTATAACGCAATGGCGACTTTATATCACACAATTCTGACTTTATATCTCGCAATTTTGAGAAATAAAGTCAGAAGTAAACTCCCAATTGTGAGATTAAAAGTCGCAATTATCTTTTAAAATGTTTTATTCTGTGGCAGAAACAAGTTTTCATAAACATTTGATGAAAAACTTAAACTAAATGAAAACTTGAAATTGAAAACTGAAATAAGTTGAAGTTGAAGCACAAAACTGAAATAAAAATAAATTAAACCTGATAAGTAATATTAAAATATTTAAAGGAACACTCTGACTTTTTGGGACTTTAGCCTATTCACCTTATCTTATCCCCCAGAGTTAGAAAAGTCCATACATACATTTTTCATCTCCGTGCGTGCTGTAAGTCTGTTTGACGCACCCACCGCTAGCCTAGCTTAGCACAAAGACTGGATGTAAATGGTTGCAGCTAGCATACTAATTCAAATAAGTGACAAAATAACGCAAACATGTTTCTATTTACATGTTGTGATTTGTATAGTCACAGAGTGTACAAAAAACAAAGTCACATGAGACACAGACATATTTTAACCATATAAATACTGGGAACTATATTCGACCACGGCGCGTCTCAGGTGCTGCGGTTATCACTCCGCCCAAGTAGCAGTGCTTCGCCTTCAGAGAATATAGTTCCCAGTATTTATACGGTTAAAATATGTCTGTGTCTCATGTGACTTTGTTTTTTGTACACTCTGTGACTATACAAATCACAACATGTAAATAGGAAAATGTTTGTGCTATTTTGTCACTTATTTGGATTAGTATGCTAGCTGCAACCATTTACATCCAGTCTTTGTGCTAAGCTAGGCTAGCGGTGGGTGCGTCAGATAGAGTTACAGCACGCACGGAGATGAAAAAGGTATGTATGGACTTATCTAACTCTGGGGGATAAGGTGAATAGGCTAAAGTTTCAAAAAGTCGGAGTGTTCCTTTAAAATAAAAGCCAACTTAAAGGTGCAGTGTGTGATTTCTAGCGGCATCTAGTGGTGAGGTTACGAATGGCAACCAACAAAAGTTACAGTGGCCAACAGGAAAAAATCATCTGAGACAGCAGAGACTCGCCAGTGAAGCAATGAGGTTTCTTTATAAAGATAAATTAAGAATGATGTTTACTTTATTATTCAGTAAAACGATATGTTATTGCGAATATTATTGTTACTTGTTCATCATTGTGTCAGTGTTTTAATCGCTGACTTTAGCTAACTTCTTTGCACGAAGAACAACATAGTGATGAAACGCGCTCTGTAGTAGTTTGTCCATTTAGGGCCACTGTAGAAACATGTCGGTGCAAAATGTCTATTTCAATGTAAGGGGACCCGCGGTGTATGTTGATAGAAATGTCTTATTCTAAGGTAATAAAAACATAACGGTTCATTATCTTTATACGCCACTGAAAACATAAGTTATGTATATTATATTGCATTTCTGTCTTACAGATCCTCCTAAATATTACACAATGCACCTTTAAAATGCTATATTAGTTAGATAATCCTAAAATTACACTGATACATAACAGTCATAATTGTTTAGATTTGGAATTTATTTCAATTGGTTGATTCAACAGAATAAAAGATCCATTGAATTAAATTGTTGATTTATTCAATTTAAAACCACAAACAAACGATTAATGTATGGGTCATAACGTGAAACATGAGGATGAGTAAATGATGACAGTATTTCCATAATCCTGAATGTGTGAATCTTACCAGCGTCCGTCGTCTCCCTCTCTCACCAGCTCCACCGTGTCCCCGCTCTTAACCGTCAGCTCCTGTGGGCCGCTTTTCTCGTGGTCAGCTACTACCACGTACCTGCCGGGAGACTAATGCAACAAACAAGCACGACACCATCAGTGCTCAAACATAGCAGGACACAAGGAATCATGCAGCAAAGAGCTCCTCAAGAGACTCACCAGCTTCTTCCCTCCCTCATCCTCAGGATCAGAGTTCATGGGGTCCTCGGCGCTCGAGTAACCGTCGTTCTCCTCAGACGCATCCATGGACAGCGACGCCTTGGTGAAGCCTTGTGGAAGAGAGGACGGGTGAAACCAATGTGACATTAAGATCACGTTAAGACATCGAAAGAGAGGGATGAATGGTGCTGCACATAGATGGTGTGTGGAAGATGAAGAAGAGACTGGCTCGGTTTCAAAACGTAGATAGCTCCTTATGTATAGAAAAAGCCGGATTCCTAACTGTCGTAGAACCTCTCTAAGAAGAAAATAACAGTGTCTATGATGTAGAACATTAAAGTTCCTGTCAGGTGCTTCATATATAGAAACTTTTAGGGGCTGCCATCATAGGATCATTTTATGGATTTAGTTTTAATTATTTTTTTAATTCGAATGAAATTGTATGAATTAAACCGCTCGTAAAAATTGTTTATCAGTATAAAAACATTGAAATAACCCATTAAAATGACCTTCAACATTTATTATTGCAATCATTTCTATTATGCAATCATTTAAGGGATTTCATATTTTGGGCGTAAAGCATTCTTTAAAATTGAGTTTGAGAGCCCAAGGGTTCTATATTAAACCCAATTGAAAACATTTTTCTAAGAGTGATTTGAAACGCTCATAAGCAGAGGTTATGCTATGCGCGTGACGTCACGTCGGCCGGTTACGCCCACTGAGTGGCAAAAAGACTGAGCGGCAGCATTTGTTTTCAGAGTGAATGCTGAGAAAAACACACAAAACACATCTAAAACGGGAAAGAGCTTTGCGATTGACTGTACACCTAGATTTGACAAGAAATCTGAGGTGTATTTTTACAGACTGCCGAAAGCTGCAGAACAGAGAAGCAACTGGATCGCTGTGATTCACAGAAATCAGAAACAGTTATTTGCAGTTATCATTGTGTGTCAATATGATAGGTATGATTGTGGCAATCATACCTACCTATATATTGTATTGACAACTCATCAATTAAATATTTACCATAGTATATTCTGCATAATTAGACGTTGTTGAATAAACACTGACAAAAAACTATACAAGTTTTAAGGCTGGACGATATGACGATATATATAACATTGATATACAGTAAGTGATTTAGGCCTACCTATAATGAATTTAATCAGTGAGTTGAAATGAGTGAAATCAGGCACGTATGACTGTCAGAAAACACGATTATTGGCTGCATGTCAATATCCATGGATCACTGGATCTTTGGTAAGTTGTAAGGAACACTATCAGTTTAAACTAAAGGTTTGACTCGATTTAATCGTTTGTTTTACTCGCTTTTTCGCAGTTTCCCCTATTAATTTCCCGTCACGGAAGCGGCTCTTTTGCCACTCAGTCCGGCTGAGGGGGAGGTTTCTGGAGAGGAAGTGACATCAACGCATAACCTCTATAGAGTTTGGCATTAGCATGTTGCTAAGCTAACATCAAAATAGTTATTACACCAATTGTAAATTTGTTTAATCATATAGTTGTCATTTCTTTAACCAAATTCATCATCTTGGATGGACGTTTTCACTGAGCTCGTCACAATGCATTGTGGAATTGATGTGAAAGATGTATGAAGTAATACTCGCACTTCCTAAGTTTCAGAACAGATTTTGCATTGGGAGTGTGCATGTGATGCCTATGTAGGCAGCACACTAGGTTCTGAAACGGAGCCAGAGCCTCTTTATCTCATAATCCATTTAAAAAGAGGAACAGGTCCAGGCACTGAGCTAGCAGCTGTTTGTGTTTTATGTTCAGATTATGACTGTGAAGGCGGCATATGACACATTCGCAAATCATTCAAAACATGTTTATGGAGAGATGCATAAACATTTTTAGATCTGAATCAGTGGATAAACATGGAGCCCGGAAGAGTGTTTGGTAGAAACGGATCTGTGGTTTCAGAATTGTAAAAGTGAATCCAGAACTAGCACCGCAAACCAGCAGACAGGAACCCAAACCAGACACTCATGCAGCGTTAGACTCGAGTGTTTCCACACCAAGGGAAGTGCAAGTTGATTTTCTTGCTCAAACTGACATCTTTTGGCTTATAAATGTACTATTTTAAAGGATTCACGTAAATCGACAGTAAAAAACACAGGATTTAAAGGAATAGTTCAACCAGAAATGAAAATTCGGTCATCATTTACTCACCCTCATGTCGCTCCAAAACTGTTTGGCTTTTTGTTTTGTGGAATACACAGATTTTTTCCATGCAATTACAACTTCAAAAGGTGGGCAGAGTGTAAATACAGGCATATGCCAAAATCTTATGAAATCATATGACAGCTTTGCCTGAAGAACAAGTCGAAAACTACTTATTCACTGGAAATCTTCATGAGAGAAATACTGTAGTTATCAGTCTTATTTGTGAATGAATCATTCTTCTATGAATTAAGTAATTGATTTGGTTCACAAACCAGTCTGAATGATTCATTCGTGAATCGGACTGAACTGGTTCTCAAGTTCTCTGATTGCAATGATTAAGTTAAAATCTCACCGGAGGAAAAGATTGTCAGTGAATAACACCCACGTCTATAATACTTTTATGGTGTTTATGCGTTGTTTTTGAAGCTTGAACCCTTTAGTCCTCATTCAACGTAAATGCATGGAAAACACCAACCAGTAAATTGTGAAACAATTCTTCTTTTAGTGTTCCACAGAAGCAAGAAAGCCATACAGGTTTGAAATGACACACGATTGTAAATAAATAATGATGATGATTCAATTTCAGTGGATTAATTGGTTTAAAAGAGAGTAGGGTAAATAGAAAGAGATTATCTCTCCTGTTATACAATATGAACTGGGCTGGATTCACATTCTCCCACGGTAAAGAGCATTTTAGATTTACAATAGTAATTTATTGAGCAGTTATATAAGAGATGCCATTTAGCACTGTGATTTATCCTGCAAACCACCAATTACAGTGCAATAATATCATACCCTGTGGTTAGTGTTTGCCAGTCTGTTTGGAAGTTCGCTGTGAGAGAGCAATAAAGACGATAAAGTTCATTCCCACACCAGGCACATCTAGTTACCTCTCCTTTTAGTCTGCAACAGACTAGAAGTGCTCATCCATCTCACTCGGGTAAGAGAGATGTGTGGACCTGCGTCTAAGGGAGAGGCAGCCGATAAGATTTCAAAGACTCCATCGATTTACCAAACACCACAGATCGCTTTTGTTGGTGGGGTATGCAGAACTAAAGTCAGTTTGTTTGGATTGTGAATGCTTGACACCTAATATTGAAGCGTTTTATTGTATTATTACTTCAGGCTGATGTATGAAAGATGGTGAACCCTAATATATGAAGGTGAGATAAAATGTGGAAACCACATAATATGATAAAACAAAGGCTTGGGAGCACAGGACACTGGTCATGGCTGATGTTGGAGGAGGGAATGCTGGGAGTTTTTATGGGACAGTGTACCTCTGAAGCCAAACGGTGTAGGATCACTCTTAATCTCATGTCTTTTAGTTTTGTGATCAGGACTAGGGGGGGATGATCCTGGCAGCCAAAGCAAGGAGCGAGAAAGGAGAAAGAAAAGGATAAGAGGACAAATAATCAGGAAAGAAGAAAGAGAAAGCCTATAACAGGGTTAAAGGAAGGATCCTTCAATATTATGAAGACAAATTAGGCTGTTCTACAGGGTGAGAGCCTCTAAAGTAGCATGTACACTAAAGTACACTGTGCCCTAACCATTTGTGATGTGACAAAACAACATCTGATAAAAGATGCTTTTTCCCCAGTTTTGAGCTGGTTAGCCCTGTTACAGTGAACCCAGGAAAATGTAATGGGTTCAAAATCCCACTCCAATAAAATAAAATAAAACAAATAAATAAAATTCACATAGCATTTTCAGTTTGGACTGCATACTGGTTGTGGACAAATTCTTATAAATAAATTAAAACATTTAATTTTCAGTAAAAGAATTTTCAGTTTAGGTGTGGACAAATTCTTGTTCCTGGAAATAAAGTTGTTTCACACATAGTTGAGGCCGTGCCACAGTGAAACCAGGGGGGAAAAAAATACAATTTGGTTTTGTATTATTTTTACTGGAAATAAAGTTGTTTCACACATGGTGCCACAGTGAAACCAGGGAAGAAAAAAAATACAATTTGGTTTTTGTATTATTTTTACTGGAAATAAAGTTGTATCATGCCTAGGGTAGGGTTTAGGCCCTACCAGTGAACTCAGGGAAATGTAACTGGTCCAAAAAAAAAAAAAAAATAATAAAATAAAATAGTCAAATTTGATTTTGTTGTGGACAAATTCTTGTTCCTTGAAATAAAGTTGTATCACGCCTGCTTTAGGCCCTAACAGTAAACCCAGGGAAATGTAACTGGTGCCAATTTAAAAAAAAATAAAAATAAAAATGAAATGAAATAAAATAAAATAGTTCGGTTTTGGTGTGGACAAATAATTTTTCCTGGAAACAAGTTGTGTCACACCTGGTTAAGGCACAGTAAAGAGCATTTCAGTAATGATAGTTCTAAATTCTAATGTTACCAAGCTTGAACTCTGACGTTGAACTGCTGCTAATCTAGACTTTGGTCTCTACACTAGAGTCTAGTGTATCCTGAGACTGCAGTGTACCTGGAGGGCAGAGAGTGATGACCATTGGAAGTGTGAGGCTTTTGCCACCAGAGGCTGCTATAAACTCTGCAGTGAGGTTCAAGCCAAAGCTTAGTACTTATTCCAGGTTCAATATTTTACATTTATCCAACATCACTAAACTATTTGTTTTTAAACTATTTGTTTTCAAATGTATCATAAATAATATAAACTAAACATTTTAACTAAGAAATTTCTGCTAAACATGCTTTTGTCATAATGATTTTCAGAAATGTTTTATCAATATGCAGTGACCCTGTTTTAAATGTATTGCCCGTGACCGTGTAAAGTTGTGAGCCCTCCTGCTGTACCTTTTTGGCTCTTGAGGTTACTGAAGCCCTGCAGTGTAAAGCGTTTTTTAGCCACTGCAGCTCTCTCAGAGTTGGGACTGGTGACAGTCTCGTCTATTCTCCACAGAGACAGAGAGAAAGAAAGAGGAGGGGGAGATAATCAAGGCCGTTACAGGTTTAGTCAGAAAATTTGAAAAACTAGGAAAAAAGAAACACCAGGGGTCACAAAGAAACTGATCACAGAAATTCACAGTCTAAGCAGCAAGAGGAAAGACAGCAGCATTCTGAATTGTGGGATAGATTTAGGGAAACGTCAGTCTGGGGTTAGTTTCACGGATTCATTGACTGACTGATTTCAAATATGTCCTGTGTAATATCTGAAAAACGACCTCTAAAAAATGCGTACACACACCCGACTATATAGTATGTGAAAAACAGTCCGCCAAAAAAGTAGTATGTCCGAATACATGGTAGGTGAAAAGTCCACAGATGACCTACTGTACTACTTCCGGCAAGATTCTGAAGTGTGCATTCGACGGACACATTACTATCCCGTGAGGGATTTATAACTGGAAGTGAAATGACGCGACTGACGCCGGTAGGTCACGTGACAGTAACAACATGGCGGATGTAGACCCATATTCATAATATATAGAGCGTACTTTTTTTAATGGTCGCTAGTAAATTCAAATGTAGTACCTACTCAGACAGTACGCGATTTCGATTTTCTTGTTTATGTTGTGCATGTTGAGAAGGGCTGACTGACCTTTGACCTTGTCGTTATTTTTGAGTAAGGCAGGATTACTGGGATCTGCTGCTGTGGGCTCAGTTTTCTTCTCTTCTCCCTTCTTGAGGCTCTTTGGGTTGGTCTTGAAGGGGCTCAGGGTTAGACCGCTGCTGGTGGGAGTTAACTGATCTGAGCTCTTCTGCTGCCTCGCCTCTGAAACACAACATCACAACAGTATTAGACAACTACAGACATAACGTGCTGATTACGTGAAGTGTGTCATTTCTATATACTCTACCGTTCAAAATGTTGGGGTCGGTATGATGTTGGTAATGTTCTCTTATGCTCACCAAAGCTGCATTTATTTGATCAAAAATACAGTAAAAACAGTAAAATTGTGAAATATTATTACAATTTAAAATAATCGTTTTCCATGTGAATATATTTTAAAGTGTCATTTATTCCTGTGATGCAAAGCTGAATTTTCAGCATCATTATTCCAGACTTCAGTGTCATTATGATCCTTCAGAAATCGGATTTGCTGCTCAAGAAACATTTCTTATAATTATTCTTATGTTGATATTCTAACAGTTGTGCCGCTTAATATTTTTCTGGATTTGTTGATGAATAGAGGGTTTATTTGAAATAGAAATTTTTATAACATTATAATGGTCTTAACTGTCACTTTTGATCAAATTAATGTGTCCTTGCTAAATAATAAAAAGAAAGAGTAAGGCACGGTGTCTCTCACCTCTGCAAGCCTTTAGTTGCCCCGTTAGAACCTTCCGGATCTCATTCACCCATGCCGTTTTGATTTCTGGTGTCGCCGCCTGAAAATAAACAATACAATGACCAGAAAGGTGAGTGACAGGATTAAAGATTAGATTATATACATTCAATGCTATTTAAATAGACATAGGATATTTTTACAAGGACAATTGTAAAATGTTTAAGAGTTTACCTGTACGATATACACCTCCTCTCGAGAATTACACCAGATCTCAAACTTTTTGTTGTCCCCTTTTGCATTCTCAGTAATGCCTACAGCACTCATCTATCAGAGGGCAAGATATGAACATAATCAGTCTCATACAGAAACCCTGATATTCCCCGTAAATGTGCTTATCTTCATTAACCTTTATTTACACAAGACAAAACACAAATTAAACATGCAGATTACATGAGCATTTCTTCTTTTTCTTGGTTAGATTACACTAAAAATGATAAATCTTCCCTTGATTTGCCCACATCGTCCGACTGATTTCCATGTCAGAGAAGTAATAAATGAAAACGAACTACTTTAATATTCCGTCTCTAACTCCTTTGGCGTTCAGGACTTACGTTGAGTGAGTGTTTAAAGCTGTATGACGGGGCTTTCTCATAACCTTCTCCGTTCTCCTCTCGTTTCTTACAGAAGAGCAGATATTTCTCGTGCAGGAAGAGGTGTCTCTGCATGGGCTTGAAGCGTGCCAGGTCTTTCACTTTCGCGTGACCCTTCTTATGCTCCAACCACACGCTGAACGACCCCTGCATCATCAAGCGGCCCAGATCGCTGAGGTTGCCCTGGAAACACAGGTCAAGGGGTCAACAACGACTCCAAAGGTGTCTTATATTATTGATAACCTTTTTCATTCAATCTGCACATTAAATAAAATGCGTCACTACTTCATATCCAGTGATGGCGATAAGGTGCATGGAGTCATTCACAGCTTTTAGGATGCCTAGAATAGATGAGAGCGCCTCCTGTAGGTCTTCCTCACCGTCACAGCCTTTACTGTACTTCAACAGTTCCTGATATACACACACATTCACATAGAGGTTACCAGACAGAGGTGCAAATATAGGAATTATATATTTGGGTCTGGGTCTAGTTTACCTTGAGTAAAAGCTGGTATTTGGTTATTCTCTGCACAGGCTTGAGCAGGTACGAGTCCAAACCAAGCTTATGCTCTAGTTTCTTTTGACACTCCTGAAAATAGCATACAAAAATTCTTTATTTTTCTTTACTAATATATGATTATTGTATAAATATTACTATTAAACTATTATAGTACAGTATTATTTATGAAATAGTAATAATACATTTTAAGTTTGGGGCAGTAAATCTTTTTTTAAAGAAGTGTGTGTGTGTGTGTGTGTATAAATATATTCAGCAAGGGCGCATTTAATCAAAAGTGACAGTAAAAACATTTAAATTGTTAAAAAAAATGTATTGCAAATAAATGCTGTTTGTTATGAACTTTCTATTCAGCATGTTAGACTGATTTTTGAAGGATCATGTGAGACTGAAGACTGGAGTAATGATGCTGAAAATTCAGCTTTACTTTACAGGAATAAATTACATTTTTAAATATATTCAAACGGAAAACAGTTATTTTAAATCGTACAAATATTTTACAATATTACTGTCTATACTGTATTTTGATCAAATAAATGTAGCCTGGGTGATCACAAAACATTGAAAAAAAATCCCACACCATTTAACAGTAGTCCTATATATTGTATTCCTAAAATATTAGCTATGACGCTCTATAATATGACCCTTTGGATTATAGAAAAAAAGATGTGCTTATGTGTAACGTGGCTTAATTGTGTCTGTAGTTTCTTGCAATGTAAGATGACCTGGAAGAAAGCGCAGTCAGAGCACTGTCTCCACAGAGACTCGGAGCGAGGCTTGTTCTGACAGTACTTCTCATATATCTGCAGATCCATCATCTAACAAAACATGAAAAAGACATTTGAAAAATCCATTTAATCATGTAATAAATCAGAACAGCACAAGATGTACAGTAACATGAGACTCACTCTCTCCAAAAAACACCGGCCCACAAGCTCAGGATAGTCTGTGTACGTCTCCAGTTCACGAAGAAAAGTCCTGAAATATATAGAGAATAAGAGGCTCTTTAGCTTTATAACACCACACAAGTGAAGCTCAAACAGGGAGACACAGAGGGTTCGACTCACTTCTTGTGGAACTGGTATATCTCAGGCATGTTGCCAAAGAGGATGTCCTTCTTGTGAAGCAGCGTGTTGGGGATGAGATGAGCCATGGCTGGATTGTCCATTTCTGCTGCATAACCCTAAACACAAAATCATTTGTCAAATCAAATGCGCTAAAAGTTATTAAAGTCACCATGAAATCAAAATTGACAATTCTTATTTTTTCATGGAATATTGCATTTAAAAAAAAATCCCTTCCCCTGCCTATTGCAGCATCTTCTCTTCTCTGATGATGCGTTTACTGGCACGAGGGCAGGGCGACCTGTCACTCAAATGAGATCCACCAATAGCAAATCACTCCAAGCCAATCAATTCCCCATGGACAAAATCAAGTCCCGCCCTACATTTTTTTCTTGTTCGAGAAGCCGTTTTACTTGGATATACGTCACAATAGGAAAGAAAAGACGATTGCAACTTCTGTTTCATGCCGACTTTAAAACATAAACTGATCTGACCTCTAGTAGTGAAAGGTGTCAGTGTAACTCACCTCCAGCACACACAGCAGCTCCTCCACATACGCTCTCTCCGTCTCCAACAGCTCGTTCATCACATGCCTGAAGTGGACGGACGTTCAACAGATAATCAGTCAAATAGAAAAATGACACACAATAGCTCACTTTCCTTTTAAGTCGCCCCTGACTGACCGTCTAAGCACAGCAAAGTTCTCCTCTTCATCAGAGACAGATGGGTGTCTGCTGCCGTCATTCTGTAAGTGCATCTCTCCCTGCAAATATAAACAACCATGCATTGATTTTTCTATGTACCGGTATATAACACACATACAGTGTCTTGAAAATGTGTTCAAACCAATTCTGTCATTTTATTTAAATCACACATATTTTTAGCTCAACGTTCAAAATCCACTCAAACTAACTCGACATTTGTTCAATTTTAAACTGCTAAGGTTGCGATCATCTTTAAAAATTGAGAATAAACTATTGAAAAAATGTATACAATTAAAATAAAAAAAATCTAAAAATCTGTTCACTTAATATTCAATTAAGCAAACGCTAAAGTGCAACAAATGCATAAGTGAGCAGTGCAGCCACTGTTACTTAATTTATCAATATCAAAGCAGTCTTATAAATATTACTGCTTAATTTTCTAGAGATAAGATACCTACTTTTCTGCAGTTTCCATTGATGATATCACCCTCTATAGTCTTCTCCCTATGCGCTGGGGTAAAAAAAAACATATGCATCAAATATAATAATATTCTTTTTTGTGGCAATGATCCCTGCAGTTTTCTATTATGAACACTAGATGGCAGAAGAGTAAAATAAGTGACAGGGAATGTGTGTGTTCTTGTATATATGGTTTATTATATGAGGACACAAATGTGTATAATGGCATGGGTATTACAACTTAAACATGGTTAATGAAGACACTTCCTGTGTCCTCATAAATCAAATGGCTTTAAAAAAAAAAGAAAAAAAAAGGTTCTGTGGATGTTAATGGTTCTTTACGGACCCATAAATCCCTTTGAAAAACCTTTATTTATTTTTAAATAGAGAATGGAGATAAAGGTTAGGAACCTGTTTTTAGTATTACAGCACACCGTGAATGTATATTAGCAGCGCGTGTTGTTGCTTTTGGCATCTGATGGAGCATTTGGACCTAGAAACAGTGACACGTTTCTGGGAAACCCAACCCAACCCAACCAAACACAAAAAGTCACGTTTAGGGGATTAACCTGGAGACAAGATGGGTGATTTGATGATGGCCTCAGGACGTGGGGCGACGGGCTGCACGGGTCGTGTCTGTTTGGCTGCTAACTTCTTAAGACTGACCCTCCTCTTCTCGAACATTTCCTGCATGGACAGCTGCTTCTGAAACACTTTGTCCACCTGATCCTGTTTGAGCACAGAGAAAATATTCATTCAACTTACACCTGACAAGACATTTGACTAATAATTTCCATATTCTCAATAACACTTAAATAACCAATACATGTATAAATAAAAATCTATACACATGTATTATGGTTAAGTTCTGGGGTTTTGTCTTTTACCCTGAAGTCTTGAGTGAGCACTGACTCATAGTCCCTCCAAATTGCACTCAAATCTGTCAGCTTGTGCTGATTGGCTGTATCCAGGTAACGCTCAATCTCCTGCAGCGCTGACTCCGCCCCATCCTGTGATTGACACTTATCCACAGGCTGAGACGCCAGCAGGTAGATCCCATCATCACACCATTTAGAGGCCTGAGAGTGACGGAAGAAGAAAAAGAGTCAGTCGTCATCATTAAAGAAGTTTTTTCTGGCTTTTAGTCCATGTCTGTTAGCTTTGAGACCATTTGTAATCCATTCCTAAAAGTTGACAAAGCCTCCTCGTAAATTATAAATAGAGACTGTGACCTAAACTAAAGGCTATTCGCCATTTGATATGTCCTGCTCCAACTTCTAGTTTCAAATGGAAATAAGTCAGCAGCACAGGAATAAGTTCTCTGGTTGACTATTTTACAGGGGTCTTGAACAGCTTTGATTAAGGAGTCATCGGGTGGGCCTAGTACCTTCTCTAGAGACTGGTGTAGCTCCATGGCTTTGTGCAGATGAGCTTTCTTGTCGTTCAGGACACCGCTGATCTCCTCACACACAACCCGCAGCTCAGAGCATTTGGGCAGGATGGAATCCACAGCATAATGAGACGCTTCGATCAGCAGATCTGCATCGCACGCTAGAGACAGAGCCCGGTCCAACACCTCCTACAGACCGAGAGAAACATTTAAAAAAAAAAAAAAGAAAAAAAAAAAGAATTATAATTTATTTTATTCAGCAGAACACATGAAATTGGTCAAATATAAGAGTAAATAGTACATTTCTAATGACAGTATAGTTATATAATGTAACAAAAGATTATGATGATTTAAATTTCATACAAATGCTGTTCTTCTGATCTTTCTATTCAATAAAGCAACCCGGAAAAAAAATATATCGTGGTTTCTACAAAAATATTAGGCATAATAAACATTAAATAGTTTTTAACACTGATAATAAGAAATGTTTCTTGAGCAGTAAATCATTATATTAGAATGATTTCTGAAGGATCGTGTGACACTGGAGTAATGATGCTGAAAATTCAGCTTTACATCACAGGAATAAATTAGTTTAAAATATTTTCAAATAGAAAAAAGCAGTTGTTTTAAATTCTATTAATATTTTACAGTGTTTTTACTATATTTGTGATTAAACAAAATGCAGCATTGGTGAGCATAAGAGACATCTTTCTAAAACAATAAAAAAAACCTTAAAGACCCAACCTTTTGAATGGCATGTGAATATTTTTATTTTAATAAAGTGACCATGGCAGCAATGAAAAACAAATTATAATGTTATAATAACTGTTATAATAATGTTATAGTCTTTAAAATTCTGCTGTTGACGAAGGCGACTTAATTTTATTAGTCAATCTTTGGGTGATTTTTTTTTTTTTTTTACTTAAAAACAAAACAAGTTTGCCACTTTGTGGCCACCCAGAACTCCCACAATCCCCTTGTGTCAGCAGAATAATTCCAGCGTAGTGATGGGTGATTTATCACATTGGGTAGAACACCCCCCTCTTCTCTCCACAGGATGAGGACATGTGGGTGATTTCTGAAAGGGCCTCAAACTGCCGCACTCAGCAATTTCATTAAGGAAGGTGAGATTTACATGCTTTATAAGACCGTATGCCTGTATATACACACACTAGAACATTATAAGGACAAATGAATGTGCTTTGGGTCTGGATAGAAATGAAGGGAAGAATTTATTTGATCTGTATTACATTTTTTGCAGTACTTAATTTTGTATCTGAATAATAGTATCATAACATCATCGAGAAATAAAAATAATAATAATTTGACAGCAGGTTAATACTTACGCAAGCTCTTTCTTCATGATTGGTCAGCTCTTTCAGGATATGTTCAGCGTGGGCGGGGCTTATTCCTACTTCCGAGAAGCCTGATAGTCTTTCATACACCAGGTCTAAATGACCTCTAACCTACAACACAGATGAACACATTACAACTACTGCTTCCATACAGAAGTTTAAGTTATAGCGCTAAAACTGAAATAAAAATAAATTAAAGCTAAATTCAAAAACTAATAAAAATGACAAAAGCACATATGACTGACTGAAACAAACTAAAATTAAATGGAAAATATAAAAATACAAGCTAATTCAAAATATTAATAAAGACTACAAAAGTAAGTAAATAATAATAATAAAAAAAAAACAATGCATCTCTACTGAAAACATGTTTAAGTGATACAGATGAACCGGTCTGTGTAGCTCACCTCCCTGTAGTCCTGCTCAAAATGCCGCAGTTGCAGACATTGCTCTAGCTTGGTCTGATGTTTGTCCCAAAAATCATCAAATGCCGTTTCAGTCTCATCTAATTGACCAAGCAACCTATAGAAAGAAAGAGAAGAATACTTCACCCAAACGGTCACCATTTGCTTTCTTCTGTGGAACACAGAGATATTTTGAATATGCAAGCTTCTTTTTACCATACATTAAAAACATACAGTGAACAAGAGGGCAAAAAGTATCACAAAAAAGTTGGGGTTTTTTTTGTCTTCTGAAACCAAAAGACACAGTAGCTTCCGAAGTCATACAAATCATGCCCACTATCATAGCTCTGAAATCTCATTCTGTATGTTTGACTGCGTCCATAAATAAAAACCTTGAAGGGGTCATCGGATGCAAAAGTCACTTTTATATGGTGTTTGCAAAACATGTGTCTTTGCAGTGTGTGGACACAACCACCATACAATGAAAAAAATCCATTCACTCTTTTTTTTTTCTCCTCAAAAAGCCTAAACAGTCTTAAAGGGATACTCCACCGGTTTTTCATATTAAACTATGTTATTCCCTTAACTAAGACGAGTTGATACATACCTCTCTCGTCTCAGTGCGTGCACTATATCGCTCTGTATTGCCACAAAACTATGTTAGCACTTAGCTTAGCCCAGTGCATTAAATATGGGCCAAGCAGAGAAGCGACCAAACACTTCCTCGTTTTCCCTATGTAAACACAGTTACTCGAGTAGTGTAACTTGACCTGGGCTGGTGACACAAAATAAAACGTTGCGCTTTTCTAAGCGTTTAAAATTGATGACTATATTGTATGGCGGAATACCATAACAAGTGCTTTTGAGCACTTCGACTTGGCGCAATAATATCTTCACTCGTGAAAAGTCCTCTTACCGGCTCCCGCTTCCTCTCCCCCTCCCTCTCATTTCCGTCAATACAACCAACGTGACTTTACTACCTGTGCTATTAGCAAACTGCAGATCATTTGCAATGGCGGACTTTGTAGATGATTATGACTTCTTTGTAGCAGACCCAGAGCCATATCTGTTTGAACCCGAGTACACGGAGGAGGAATTAGCTCTTATGGACCGTGAGAGGGAAGAAAGATATGATCCAGAACAGACCAGAGCTGGCGAAAGACCACGGGCAAACAGCAATTGGTGGTGCAAGTGTGACTGTTGCGAACTGATGCCGACCGAAATTGAGAGCCTGTGCTGTTTAGAATGGGACCAGGTATTGCCATCGAAGGTGGGGGTCAGTGTAGATCCAGAAGACCCTGGACAAATCGCATGTGTTGCGGCAAGCGACGCGTTTGCAGCGATGATTCACCCGGCAGTCGTAAAATTTTTCTTTCCTCTCACGGTCCATAAGAGCTAATTCCTCCTCCGTGTACTCGGGTTCAAACAGATATGGCTCTGGGTCTGCTACAAAGAAGTCATAATCATCTACAAAGTCCGCCATTGCAAATGATCTGCAGTTTGCTAATAGCACAGGTAGTAAAGTCACGTTGGTTGTATTGACGGAAATGAGAGGGAGGGGGAGAGGAAGCGGGAGCCGGTAAGAGGACTTTTCACGAGTGATGATATTATTGCGCAAAGTCGAAGTGCTCAAAAGCACTTGCTATGGTATTCCGCCATACAATATAGTCATCAATTTTAAACGCTTAGAAAAACACAACGTTTTATTTTGTGTCACCAGCCTAGGTCGAGTTACGCTACTCGAGTAACTGTGTTTAAATAGGGAAAACGAGGAAGTGTTTGGTCGCTTCTCTTTTTGGCCCATATTTTATGCACTGGGCTAAGCTAAGTGCTAATATAGTTTTGTGGCAATACAGAGCGATATAGTGCACGCACTGAGACGAGAGAGGTATGTATCAACTCGTCTTAGTTAAGGGAATAGCATAGTTTAATATGAAAAACCGGTGGAGTATCCCTTTAATAATCAAGCCGTTTGGATTTTCTGAGCAATATGATGTCATATTGCTCATGCTCCGCCCACAACCACTGACGGACTGTCCCGTATTAGCCATAGACAGTAAAAGAAATGGACAGAGCGATCTCATTGGAACTCAGTTGAGACAGTTGAAGCCCACTTTTAGCGATTTTTGAGAACTTCCGTGCCTGACGCGCAGACTCAGACCGACTCAAACTAAGCTTGATGACGTGAGCAACCTGTCTGACAGACGTTAATCTTCTAGTAGCTGTGCGTGAAAACTGCCAACGTTAATCTTGCAGAGACGGGGAACTTGAGCAAAGAGTTCTTTGGCGTGAGTGAGCAGGAGTAAGTATTCCGTTGCTTTTATGGACTCATTATCTATGGGCTTCTCCCTTGACGGGACGTCCCCCCGATTGCCTGCGAGCTTCTCCTGCTGTCTGTACGGTAATTTCTGTACAGCGCGACAGAGAGTCGAGTGGTTATGACGCAATCGTTAGCCTATTTTTACTAAATCTGTTTCTACGGGGCCATAATGTAACATAGAAGGTAATGGAGCCCTTTATACATTGTCGTGTTTCTTTAGAAATAAATAATGGACAAATGGAGTCTTTAAACGCCTCAGATGTAAAGTTATTCGCTGTCAAAGTGACGCCAAAATGACTGGGAGTCAATGGAAATGCTAACGCAAGTGAAGTTCTGCTACAACATGGCGGCACCCGGCCGGCTTCAACTTCCGGTCGATGGATTACCCCCTTGGTATTAGCATATTTCCCCTATTAGCATATTTCCACCCTCAGCCATTTGTATACTGTCCGCCAAGGCAGCACTTTAAGTGTCTTGTGTCGACTCGCCCCATGGAAGAAAAGGCTGGAGCAGTTGGTAAAAAGGGTGTTGTTTTACACAACCATTGAGGAATTTTAACCAAAGTATGTTACAAACTTTACATGAAGACCCTAAATAATCATACCAACTTGTGTAAAATAGGCACCCGATGACCTCTTTAAACAAATATAGCCACATCAAGATAATAAAGGCTGACAGCAGATGCCTGTGGATATTAACACACACACACATCCCAGAACGTTGCTTCAGTGAAAGGTCATGTGAGTAGAGCTGGACTTCCTGTAAGTTAATGCTCTTTTTGCATGCGTGTCTGTAGATTTGCTGTATAATCTTCACCAGGTGGCTTGTCTTGTTGTGTATGCAAAAGCACAGCTGACCAGAACAGCTTAATAAGGACAAAAACTGACCAAGGACACGCAACAGTCTGCTGCTGGATTGTAACCGTCTGGTCTCTCCTTTTTGCATTCCAGCGCGGTAGATGGTATCTTACACACACACACACACACACACACACACACACACACACACACACACACACACACACACACACACACACACACACACACACACACACACACACACACACACACACACACACACACACACACACACACACACACACACACACACACACACACACACACACACACACACACCTCTGAACGGTAGCCAGGTTCTCCAGTTCATCCTGGTTCATGGTGTAATCTGGATCTTTCACCAGCGGCTCATTGATGCTCTCCAGCAAACGTCCTCCCTGACAGAGAGCGATCCTCAAGTCATCCTGCACACACACACACAAAATAAACATGCTATTCAGTCCGAATGATGAACATGAATTATTTATGTAAACTTAAGGTTTGTTTATAGCTTATGGCCATGTGAATAATCCATGTTAAATTATTAATGATCTTACTGGACCCCTTGTCAAAGACTATGCCCAATACTGAATATATACAGGTCATTCTAAAAAAATTAGCATATTGTGATAAAGTTCATTATTTTCACAGACTTCCCACTGAGGTGCCTTGATACAGCACTCTGGGAACAGCCTATTTGTTCAGAAATTTCTTTCTGTCTTACCCTCTTGCTTGAGGGTGTCAATGATGGCCTTCTGGACAGCAGTCAGGTCGGCAGTCTTACCCATGATTGCGGTTTTGAGTAATGAATCAGGCTGGGAGTTTTTAAAAGCCTCAGGAATCTTTTGCAGGTGTTTAGAGTTAATTAGTTGATTCAGATGATTAGGTTAATAACTCGTTTAGAGACCCTTTTCATGATATGCTAATTTTTTGAGACAGGAATTTTGGGTTTTCATGAGCTGTATGCCAAAATCATCAGTATTAAAACAATAAAAGACCTGAAATATTTCAGTTGGTGTGCAATGAATCTAAAATATATGAAAGTTTAATTTTTATCATTACATTATGGAAAATAATGAACTTTATCACAATATGCTAATTTTTTTAGAAGGACCTGTATATATAATGACAAAACATAAAATAAATGACACGCAAAATGCAATCTATCTCCTTCAAGTATCATTTTGCTTTTGCATAATGAATAATAAAAAAATTATAATAATAAAAAATAATGTCCATTTAATTACATATTTGTAAGAAGGTGTGTTGAAGCAGAATAATATACAATAAGATGGTCATTATAAATAAACCCTGATGTTTAGTAATTTCACTTTGGTTTCTGACCTTCATCTTGTCCTTTTTCTCTGTGTGGATGGTTAGAAGGTTGGACGTGGCCTCGACATCATTGGGCAGTTCTGTCTCTGCCAGCTCTGTCCCGAAAGACTGGAGAGTCTGTGCTGTTTTCTTCACCATCAGAGCAAAACCTTCAATGGCCTACAGGCACAACAACACAAACCAAGAGTCACACATGCTGGATCAGTGCAAAACTACACCAATCACATAACAGCGAGATACCCAAACACACAAACGGCTGAGTGTGCAACAAATAAAAAACATCCACGAGCACTACAAACAAGTGCACAGTACTTAAACACAGCAGCCACAGATCAATGCGGACGTGCTGAAAATCAATTACTGATTACTTAAAAGCAAGTCCACATATGGAACGAGAAGAACTGCAATTCATTTGCTCAAGATGAAGACCGACATCCTCCTTGAGGACTCATTTTTTTAAATACCTCATCATAATGATGAAGAACAAAGACTTAAGGTGTGTTTGGAATGCTATTGCATTTGATCATACTACTACTAAAGATGCATAGTATGAAGATTAAAATGTCCACATTTACTACATGTACAGAATTCAGTGATAGTCCTTCAATCTCATGAGTAATAAATACACTAGGACACACACACAGACTGTTTTTTCATGTTTTATGGGGACTTTCCATAGACAATGGTTTTTAAACTGTACAAACTGTATATTATATCCCCTTACACTAACCCTACCCATCAGAGAAAACTTTCTGCATTTTTACATAAAAAAAACAAAACAAAACAAAAAAATAGATCACCTGTATGATTTATAAGCCGAGTTCCTCTTGGGGACCAAAAAATGTCCCCACAAGGACAAGGATTTCAGATATTGTCATCTTTGTGGGGACATTTGGTCCCCATAATGTAGGGTTTCCCAGGACACGCACACAAGCACACCTGAACAGTAGCCAAGTTCTCCAGTTCATACTGGTTCATAGTGTATTCTGATTTTTAACCATGATTTTTAATATCTATTAAAAATTCCATGTGTAAATCAATGACATATTACCCTATTTACACTACCGTTCAAAGTTTGGGGAACTTTTATTCAGCAAGGATGCATTGAAAAGATTAAAAGTGACAGTAAAACCATTTATAATGTTATAAAAGGTTTTCATTTCAAATAAATGTTTACAGCATGATACTAATTATAATAGAAATGTTTCTTGAGCATCAAATCAGCATATGAGAATGATTTCTGAAGGATCATGTGACACTGATGACTGGAGTAATGATGCTGAAAATTCAGCTTTGACATCACAGGAATAAATTACACTTTAAAATATAACATAAATAAGAGACTTCTTTCAAAAACATAAAAAAAATCTTTAGAACGGTAGTGTATTCCTGCAGTTATCAATAGACACCTCAATGACATACCCATGTTACATAAGAGGTCATGTGACAAATAGCATACTATAGTTTGAAATGTTTATTGTAGCATAATATACTATAGCACATACAGTAGAATACCATACACAGCATATACTGCACACTATATACTATAGCATTTCCTTCCTTTCAAGCTATTTTTTGTAAGCTTATGTCATTAACTCATTAAATAATTAGTTTTTTTTTGATCAGTCGTTCATTCATTGAGTGGCTTATACATCTAACCGATCCCGTCCCCACTCTTCATTTCTGCGTTCCACCCGTCAGTACTGTAGTGAAACTGGATCTGTACTCACGGTGCGGTGTGAAATCCATTTCTCGTGGCAGTACTCCTGCGTGCCGCCCAGTTCCTGCGTGAGCTGTGTGCGGTCGATGTAACTGTGGAGCTCAGTCACAGAGCTGAGCATGATCACCTACACACACACACAGTTCATAATATAGGCCACTTCTCTCATGTCAGCGTATAATCTATTTCACTACGCTCTTCATTAACCACACATGAGGCTGTGTGTGTGTGCGTACTTACCGGCACCTTCATTTTAAACTCATCCTTGTTAAACTTAAATAAGATGTCTGAGAGAGTCCGCTGGAAGAGTGTTGTGGGTCTCAGTACCAGCACCAGCTGCAGGTTGCCTGGGAAAGCGCCCTACAAAACACACAAACACATAGAAAACTAAGAAAAACATCTAAAACAGGCAAGCAAAATAAATATAAATACCAAAGCTTATGTTAGTGAGCCATTACATTTGACTGGTACAGCCTCCCTCCCACTGTCTGCATTGACACACACACACACCATCTATATTCTGTTGCCATGACAACTCAGTTTCTTGAGAGACCAGAGAGGCTAACAATGGTCTCACATATGCTTCCCTCCCTGAGCTCTCTCTTTCTCTCTCTCTCACACCCTCTATTTCTTAGTGAATGCATGAACACACACCCCCCTCATGCAGTTCTTATGTTTACAGTCTCTTCATTAAAATGCCTCCCTACTGGGCACCACGTCAAATCAAAAATATGTCCGCAGATCGATACAGAGCTGTGATTTTTGCATGGACTGTGGAGTGGGTCTCCTGACAGCTGAAGGGACAGCAGTGTAACTGACAGTGTGTGTGTGTGTGTGTGTGTGTGTGTGTGTCAGTAAGCAGTGAAGCAGAAAGAAGAGGCTTTACAACGTGACACTGAGAACTGATTTAAAAAACGTTGGTCCTGTATTATGAATGTATCTGACCACTAAAAATTATAATAATTATGTTTATTCAGTCACAATAAATAATTTCCTCGATAAGAACGGAATAAATATTAATTCAGTCTAGTATTAACTAATAAATATAAACATTTAACATGTTTAATCTAATTGATAACATTATGTGCCTATTAATTAATCAAATGAATCGCAAATGACCCCAAAAGATAATTTAAAGTCATTATTGTTTTAAATGAGAAAAGCATTAAAAAAGACATTACAAAAAGTAGTTTTAGAATGAAATATTTTATTTGACAAAATGTACACATAACCTTTTAGGCTACAGTCGCCATGATTTTTTTTTTTTTTTTTCAGAAGCTGCATTTACAGACCAAAAGAGTTTTCTTACAAACATTCTTCAAAATATATTTTTTCATGTTCCGCAAGAGAAGGAAAGTCATACAGAAGGAAGGTCATACAGGTTTGAAACAACACATGGGTGAGTAAATGAAGACCTCCGATGCAAAAGCCTCTAGAAGCCACCTATGTCAAAAATGAGGTAATAATATTGAGTGAATGCTCTCCGGACATAGTATATACGCTCATCAAATATTTCACTTCAAACTCACTAAATCCCAGCCTCAGCCCATTCAGAAATGTCGGTACTTAGGTAGAAACCTATACATAGGAGCCTGATAAAAATGTTAATATTAAAGGTGCAGTGTGTGACTTTTAGCGACATCTAGCGGTTCGGTTGCGAGTTTACACTAAGGGCTCAGCCCACTGCTCACCCCTCCCTTTCGAAGAAGCTACGGTGGCTAAAACGGGACAAACATCGTCGTCTGAGACAGCAGAGAATAGTCAGCGTAAACCAAGTTTCTGTTCCACAGTCCATCATAAACCACATCATGGATAAAGTTTCAGGTGAGGATCAAGGGTCTTAATACATAATATAATAATAGTGTGGCGAGGGGGGCGTGGTTCAGCGAAGTCTGTAGCGGGAGAGCGAGGGCGGAGCTGAGCGGTGAGTAAGTGGGTCAAGTTCAAATGACAAACACCTGTTTGTGATTTCAGTAATTGGCGTGAGGAGACCGCATATAAGCGGGCCGTGCGGACAGCATTTTGAGAGAGGCTGGGAGCTCGTGCACGTCGCGTGAGAAGCTGTGACCAGTGAACGGAGTGTTGCTGAAACTTTGACACGTGAAGCTGTATCCAGCGGGAAGAGTACTATTGGAATTGTGTCCAGTGAAGCTGTGTCCAGCGGGAAGAGAATTATTGTCTACTGTTTATTTTGCCTTTTTTATATTCTGAGTTAACTTTGTTTGAGCGTGATTACGCGCTGAAAAGGGGGAAAAGCCTCTTAAATAAAAGTGCACGAGTCCCAGTATTCGCCGACCCCGTGTTTCCTTCCATCATCCAAACACAAACGAACCTGTTATTTATCACACTGGTGCCGAAACCCGGGATGGAAGGAGAGGCCGTCGCCAGGCCACCTCTGGCATCGCCGTTTGCGGACATTATCAACGCGCTCGCGGGCCTCCATCAACAACATCAAGAGGCTCTGCTGAAGATGGAGGAGCATCAACAACATCGTTTCGAGGCCCTCCTCCAGACCCAGCACGAGGACCGCAAGCAGTTCCGGAGCTGGATAGACCGGGAGGCTCGGGCGTCTACATCGTTGGTCCCGGCCACGGCCCTTCCCCTCCACAAGATGGGTCCCCAGGACGACCCGGAGGCGTTCCTGGACCTCTTTGAGAGGTCGGCCGAGGCCGGGGGCTGGCCGCCCGCGGACTGGCCCATGCGTCTGATCCCGCTGCTCTCGGGAGAAGCACAGATCGCCGCTCAGCAGTTGCCAGTCCGCAACCTCCTGGTCTATGAAGACCTGAAACGCGCCATTCTTCAGCGGGTCGGCCGGTCCCCGGAGCAGAGTCGTCAACAGTTCCGCTCCATGGAATTCGGGGAATCCGGCCGACCCTTCATCTTCGCGCAACAGCTCCGGGACGCATGCCGCAGATGGCTGGTGGCCGAGGACCGCGGCGTCGATGGAGTCATCGAGTTGGTGGTACTGGAGCAGTTCATCGCCCGGCTGCCAAAGAAGACTGCGCAGTGGGTCCAGTGCCACCGCCCGACGTCGCTGGACCAGGCCATCCAATTGGCAGAGGACCAGCTGGTGGCGTGCCCAGGGGTTGGCGATCCCCTCCCGACATCTCTCTCTCTCTCTCCCTTCCTCTCTCTCCCTCTCTCGCCCTGTCCCCGCTCCCAGGTCCCGAGGCGGCTTCCCACCGCGCCCGGCGCCCAGCTGGAGGACCGGGCCCGCAGCTGAACCGGTCCATGCACCTCGTGCGCAGCCCCGGGGAACCCCATCGACGGTTGGCAGCTCGCCAACCCCGACCCCTGCACTCTCCTCACGCCAATCACCTGATCCACTTCCCGCCACTGGGATGGCGGGGAGGCCTGGGCCGGCCTGCTGGCGTTGCGGGGACCCTGGACACTTTGTGGATAGGTGCCCGGTGATGGAGGTCGGAACGGTGATCAGGGTCCCCGATGCGCCTCAGGTTGCCCCCGATCAAGCTGGGTTGTACCAAATTCCAGTAAGTCTAAAGGGGGGTACCTATCAGGCTTTGGTGGATTCAGGTTGTAACCAGACCTCCATCCATCAAAGCTTGATTCACCCAGTGGCATTGGATAAGAGCCGCATGGTTAAGGTTCGGTGTGTGCACGGTGAGGTGGTGGGATACCCCTTAGTGCCAGTCATTATTCAATTTCGGGGACAAAAGCATAGTGTGGAGGTGGCAGTTAACCAGCACCTCCAGCACCCGCTAATTTTGGGGACCAATTGGCCGGGGTTCAAAACGTTATTGGCTCATTTATGTACGGGTGCTTCTGGGTTAAGAAAGAGGCAGGAGAAGAGAGCGGTGGTTCAGGTTGGAGAGGCTGTACCGGGACCCTCGGGCCCTGTCTCAGAGGAACGGAGTGCGTCAGAAAGGGAAATCTTTTCTGACCGCGATGATTTTCCTCTGGAACAGTCCCGAGATGAATCGCTTAAAAATGCGTTTGATCAGGTCCGCGTGATCGACGGACAGCCTGTCCACCCAGACCAGCCGCTCTCATATCCTTATTTTGCCGTGATAAAAGACAAGTTGTATCGGGTGACCCAGGACACCCAGACAAAGCAAGATACAACTCAGTTGTTAGTTCCAAAGAGCCGCCGGGAAATGCTTTTTCAGGCGGCTCACTGTAATCCAATGGCTGGGCATTTAGGGCAAGAAGCTACACTAAATCGCCTAATGACCCGATTTTTTTGGCCGGGCATTCACGAGAATGTGCGCAGGTGGTGTGCGTCTTGTCGTGAATGTCAGTTGGTGAATCTAAGACGGGCGGTGGGGGTATGTGGCGAGGGGGGCGTGGTTCAGCAAAGTCTGTAGCGGGAGAGCGAGGGTGGAGCTGAGCGGTGAGTAAGTGGGTCAAGTTCAAATGACAAACACCTGTTTGTGATTTCAGTAATTGGCGTGAGGAGACCGCATATAAGCGGGCCGTGCTGACAGCATTTTGAGAGAGGCTGGGAGCTCGTGCACGTCGCGTGAGAAGCTGTGACCAGTGAACGGAGTGTTGCTGAAACTTTGACACGTGAAGCTGTATCCAGCGGGAAGAGTACTATTGGAATTGTGTCCAGTGAAGCTGTGTCCAGCGGGAAGAGAATTATTGTCTACTGTTTATTTTGCCTTTTTTATATTCTGAGTTAACTTTGTTTGAGCGTGATTACGCGCTGAAAAGGGGGAAAAGCCTCTTAAATAAAAGTGCACGAGTCCCAGTATTCGCCGACCCCGTGTCTCCTTCCATCATCCAAACACAAACGAACCTGTTATTTATCACAAATAGTAATCAGCTGATTGTCTCACGAACGTAACCAGCACATTTCTCCCCACATAGCAAACCCATAATACAGCGAGGGAGAAGAACCATATGAAACTATGCAACTATATATTTTTTCTAACAGGGTAGTAAAAGTTTAGCTGGCTAATATGAGCTGTTACTGTGGCTGAGATGGTTAAAGCGTAAAGCCTTGTTTATACTGGACGCGTCCGCATGAGCCCAAAGGTGCGTGCGGCAAAAATGACGTGATTGTAACAGCGCGCGCCTCCGCATCCCCTAGACACCACTTACTACACACAATAGGCTTTTTTTCTCTGATTTTGGAAACTCGATCGACTTAAAATGCTTCCAAGATCGACGGGTTGGTGATTCCTGTAACTGTTTTACGGTCAATGACAAGAGTAGCCTACTAATCAGCTGTCTCACGAACTTAACCAGCACATTTATCCCCACATAGCAAAGCCATAACACAGCGAGGGAGAAGAATTAAGTTACATGAAACAATCCAACTACATATTTACACCACTGACAAGGGAAAAGTCACTACTCACGGTGTTTGACTAGCTTCTTCTAGCTTCCTGCTGCTT